AAAAAAAAAAAAAAAAAAACCCTCACACTCCCACACTCCCAGGAGGCCAGCCAACACACCTGTTGGAACTTTGCATACAGGGTATCTTCTCTCTTCAAGCTTGAACTGCAGCTCAGTAACAAATGGGCTACAGACACCAGGGGCTTGCCCATGGAAGCCCCAAGGCCTAGAGAGACTGCCAGAGATTTGATGGCTGTCACTCTCCACTGCAGCCTCAGTCCAGGGTCTGCCAGGCACCAAGAGCTCACACTTTGCCCTTCTAAGTGCCAAGCCCCTCACAAGCATCATCTCATTGTTTAGAGTGGGGGCTTCAGCACCAGACAAATGCAGGTTTGTATCCAACTCAACCACATGCTGGTGAGAGAGTCACCATCTCTGAGCAGACCTGTGACTCCTGTTCCAAATGGGTGTGGAACCATGATGTGTTACGACTCGCAACCTGCCATAACCTCATGGCCCTGGCCTTCACAGCAAAGTCCACTAGAATAAGCATTCCCTCACCAGTCAGAACATCCTGGACGCTGAGCAGCCTTTTCTGAGAGCCTGGTGCTTTTCATAGCCCTGGGAGACTCCTCTAATCCCAGCCACCAGGTTGTCACTATAGAACTAATTAAATCATCTGTCCTCGTATCCACAGCTCAACATTAGAATGGGAGATGGTTCAGGGAGCCAATTAGAGGCCAGGCATTGGAAGGTGGTAGAGGTGAGAGCCTCACACCTGGGCTCTTGTCTGATAAGTCCAGGCCTGAGTTAGGGGACCTTGGCCTAAAGAGCCTGTCTTGACTGGATCATGAGAGGGGACTGAGTCTACACAGCTGGCCTGGCCTCAGGCCTGGAGCTTTAGCTCAAGGACAAGAACACCCATAAAGCCAGGCTAGCTCCCAACCTCACATCTGCCACGATGTTGCTGCTCAGCCTGACTCTGAGCCTGGTTCTCCTCAGCTCCTCCTGGGGTAAGTGAGCCAGGACCAGCCCTAACTCAGCCCTGGGGGCAACTCAGCTCCCAGCACCAGCCCAGGCAAGGGGCCAGGCTGGCTGGAAGGGATGCAGGTGGACAGAGTGGGCAAAGGAAACAGGATGTGCCAGTGCAGGGGAGCATGAACAGGCCTGCAGGAATGGGAGGGGGCAAGAGTGGGGTGGGGCATGGTTTAGGAAGCTGAGACAGGAAGACCTGTCCATGTCTTTTAGAAAGAACCCTCTGGCTGGATGAATGGTATGAACTGTTCAGGTCTGGAGAGGTCAAAGAGACCAGGGGTAGAGACGGGAAACAATGGGACTAGGCTGGAGCAAGAGGGGGGAGAACGGCAGGACTGGGGGACTGGTTGGATGGGGAAAACCAAGATAGCTGTGGGGCCCGAAGGTACTTGCATGTACCCTGTTGGGGAAGGGGTAGTGCTGTACCCTCTCTACAGACCTCTCCAGGGTGCACAGCCCGGGGCACCCAGGAGAAGGAGGTGGGAAAAGGCAGGCTAAGGCCTGGGAAGCAGGTCCTCACCAGCCCAATGGTCAGGCTGCGGTGTTCCTGCCATCAAACCGGCACTGAGCTTCAGCCAGAGGATTGTCAACGGGGAGAATGCAGTGCCGGGCTCCTGGCCCTGGCAGGTGTCCCTGCAGGTACACCACTGGAGGGGTGGGCAGGGTCCTGGGTATGTCATGCCTAGCGGCAGCCTGAACAACCCATCCCGACTCTAATCTCTGAGCCCTGACCCCAGGACAGCAGCGGCTTCCACTTCTGTGGTGGTTCTCTCATCAGCCAGTCCTGGGTGGTCACTGCTGCCCACTGCAATGTCAGGTGAGCGCCCTCACTCCACCTGCCCCACCCCTCACCTCTTCCTGCCTCCTCCCCTGGCTGTCCCCCTCCAGTTCTGCCCTCCCTGCAGCTGCCTAACCCCACCTCCCTGCAGACCTGGCCGTCACTTTGTTGTCCTGGGCGAGTATGACCAATCATCCAATGCAGAGCCCCTGCAGGTTCTGTCCATCTCTCGGGTGAGTGCCTGGGCTGCAGACATGGAAGAAGAGTGGGCAGTGCAGGTGGGTGGGTGCTGGGAACAAGGAATTCAGGAAATGCCCTGGCCTACCCCACCCAGCACCCATCAGCCCCAGCTGCCGGGACCCACCCCAGCCCAACATGGCCTGCTTCTGGCCCCACAGGCCATTACACACCCTAGCTGGAACCCCACTACCATGAACAATGACGTGACGCTGCTGAAGCTCGCCTCACCAGCCCAGTACACAACACGCATCTCACCAGTTTGCCTGGCATCCTCGAATGAGGCTCTCACTGAAGGCCTCACGTGTGTCACCACCGGCTGGGGTCGCCTCAGTGGTGTGGGTAAGAACTCAGGTCAAAGCTCAGGGCAGGAGGACTGAGGTGAGGACTAGTGTTCTGGGCCCAGCCTGACCACCCCTCCTGCCCCACAGGCAATGTGACACCAGCACGTCTGCAGCAGGTGGCTTTGCCCCTGGTCACTGTGAATCAGTGCCAGCAATACTGGGGCTCAAGTATCACTGACTCTATGATCTGCGCAGGTGGCGCAGGTGCCTCCTCGTGCCAGGTGAGCCACGGCACCCCATCCCCTGGCACACCTCCCAACCCCCCACACTCACTTCTCCCACCCTCTTCCTTCTCAGGGTGACTCTGGAGGCCCTCTTGTCTGCCAGAAGGGAAACGCGTGGGTGCTTATTGGTATTGTCTCCTGGGGCACCAAAGACTGCAATGTGCGCGCACCTGCTATGTACACCCGAGTTAGCAAGTTCAGCGCCTGGATCAACCAGGTCATAGCCTACAACTGAGCCCACCACAGGCCCCTCCGCAGCTCAACCCATTAAAGACTCAGGCACTGTCCCATCATGCATTCTTGTCTGTCTTTCTGGCTCAGGATAAAGGAGAGGCTGTTGAGGGTCGGACTCCCTACCTGGAATTCTGACATGGAAGGGGCTGAGTGACTCCTTGAATAGTAGTGGTTCTTCCTAGAGTAGCCATGCCCTCCTCCAGGGCAACCCCTTGGTTCTACAGCAAGAAGCCAGAGCTGTTGGAATGAATGGCAGCCCTCCCTGGAGAGGCAGCCTGTTTACTGAATACAGAGGATACATTTACAAACTGAATACACGTAATAAATAACTGCACATTCTCCATCCACAGTCCATGGCATGAAAGCCCAGGTGGGTCTGTCAAAGGCCCACATCTCCAAACCCCTGATCCTGCCCTCAGGACCAGGCCTATCCTGGGCAAGAGAAAACATAATCCCCAAGGCTTTAAGCCCCCAGAGACACTTGGGGAACTGGGAGGAAATTCTGAGGCCATGGGGCTTGGCTTTCCATTGCCTCCTGTCCAGGGGGCAGTGGGGATGACAGGAGGGGGTGTCTAAGGCACAGTGGACTTGGTACAGAGTGGTCGCTTTAGTTTTGTTTCCCACTGGAGGTGGCACATGCAGGAAGAGGAGGGCCTGGCCCAGGCTGCTGACTGGTAGAAGCTGAGTGACAGCCAAACCATTCCCCACTGGCAGGGGCCCTGCATTTAAGCTAAGGCCAAAGCTGAGCCCCGGCCCCATTCTACCCACTGAAGGCAGCTGTGGAAGGAGGGGCTCAGGTTCCAGCCTGGTTTGTGGTAGGGGGAGATACCACAACAGCCATGGGGACAGTTCTGGCTCAGGCCTCTAGGAAAGCAGCCACCCAACCCTACCTACCTCCCACAGGGGCTCTTTCCAGCCTGAGACTCAACGGGACCCAGACTGGAAGGTTAATGCTGTGAAGGGAAGCAGCACAGGGTGAACAGGACAAGGCCAGGTGTGAGAAGGCAGTGCCCCAGGCACCCAGCGTTCAGAGGCAGGTCACACAGTATTGCTAAGTTCCAGGGACGGGTGCGCAGAAGCTCAGCAGAAGGGGAGAGGTGAGTAGCCCAAGACCCTCCCCCAGTGCAGCAACTCCTTCCTTCCCATGTCCTCTCGGACGACTACATGTGTGCACAATGGGAGTGCAATGATCACTCCCTGCAGACACCAGATGGCGTCTTCATGCAGCTGCAGAGGAGGGAGCGGCAAAGCCTGAAGGGAAGGGGCAATGGGCTGCACCAAAAGATAGAATCCGGGCTGACACTGGACCCTAATGTGAAGGAGCCCCCTGCCCTCTGCCCCATCCCCCAGGTAGCAGCAGTGGGGCTCCCTTTAACCACCCCCAGTTGGGAAGGAGGCACCTGGGGAATGGAATGGGCATCCAAGGGGGAGAGGGAGGTAGTGGTGGGCTCTACAAAGAAGGCACCAAGGGTGGTGGGCTGGTGGGCAGAGACCCCCTCAGAGTCTGGAGAGGCTGGAGCCTGGGCAAGCCGACCACCAGCATGGCCACACAGTCCAGAAGGGTGAAGGTCCACTCCATGGCCCCACTACCAGAGGTCCTGGCAGGTCCTGGAACCAGGAGGGCTCCCTGGGGGCACCATGAAGGAAGACAGATCTTGGCTGGGAGGTGGAGGGCTATTTGGATCTAGCTGAGGGCTACCGGTCCAGACAGGGCACAAGCTTTGTGCCTACCTGGATCTCCCATTGGAGCATAATCTTAAGGATCAGGATGTGTGGGAATGTGTGGAGCCAGGGAGGGCTCTGTGAAGGAAAGGGGGTCCCAGAAGCAACTGTCCTAAAGGGTCCTGAGGCCACAGGACACCCTCCACCTTGCACTGCAGGCCCCCTTTGATTTGAGAAGAGCCAAAGGGCAAAGAAGACAGTGAAGGCCAGGTCCTATCCCTTCAAAACTCCAGAGCAGCTGCCCAAGAGGGGTATCAGTGCCAGGCCAGGCTCCGAGTTCAGGGTGGGTCACAGCCCCCTGGGCTACCTCCACTCTCTCACATCTGGCCTAGGCCCATGGTGAGGACAGGGGCTGCTGAAGGCACAGGGAAGGGGCTGGTGCCAGACATTCTTCACCTACTGCGGGTCACACAGGCCTATCGCCAGAAAGGGCATCGGAGCCAGAGCGCATCACAGTGTGTGGCCAGGCTGGGCCGTGCCGCACATGCGCACAGCCAGGCAGCTCAGCCATTGTACTGCTGCTGGTAGCGCAGGTTAAGCTCCCGCAGCTCCCGCTCCCGCACACGGCGTGACTTGTTGGAGCGTGTTGAGCGGCTGGAACGTGTAGACTGGGCAGATTTGGTGCTCTGGCAGCGCGAGGAGGCACGTTTGAGGAGGTTCTGGGATATGGAGCGGTGCAGGTTCTTCATGGATGAAGAGGCGGCCATGCTTACCACCCACGGGTGCCTCAGGGCCTGCAGTGCAGTCATACGGGCTCCAGGGTCCACTGTCAGCAGGCGGTCAATGAAGTCCTTGGCCAGGTTGGACACACTAGGCCAGGGCTAGAGACCAAGGACAAGCATTAGAGCAAGAACACCCAACACTGCCCACCCCATCTGGATGAGCCACTACCCAGCATCCCTGTACTTTCCCGAGAGAGGCGCTGCCCCTCCTCTCATGTAGCGCTTGGGGCCTCCCCACCCAGTGCTGGCCTAGGCTGAACAGGGACTGCTCTCGGGGTGATGAGGAGTCTGGCAAGGAAGGAAAGGACCTGTCCACTCTCCCAAGGAGCAAACATTTTTTTTTGAGATGTAGTCTCGCTCTGTCACCCAGGCTGGAGTGCAGTGGCTCAATCTTGGCTCACTGCAACCTTTGCCTCCCAGGTTCAAGTGATTCTCCTGCCTCAGTCTCTTGAGTAGCTGGGATTATAGGCACGTGCCACCATGCCCAGCTAATTTTTGTATTTTTAGTAGAGATGGGGTTCCATCATGTTGATCAGGCTGGTCTTGAACTCCAGACCTCGTGATCTGCCCGCCTTAGCCTCCCTAAGTGCTGGGATTACAGGCGCGAGCCACCACACCCGGCCCCGGGAGCAAACTTCTATGGTGCACTGGACCCAAAGCCTGGCTCAGGGAGATGGCCTCTGCTAGGATTCCCCAACCTACCCCAGGAGAATTATAACTCAGGGGAATGTAAGAGAATGACTCAAACTTTCCCACCACATCCTAAGTCAGACTGAAGCTCCAATCCCTGGATGACGAGGATCAGGCCACTTAGAGGGGAACTTCCTAGTCCTTACAGTGGTGGGAGACCACTGCTCCCTGACTCCACCTCCCAGCATGGGGAGTAAAGGAAATAATTCAAGGCAACTAGATTTCCCAGTCTGCTGAGGGCAGGGACTTCCGGGGGCCAGGCAGGAACCAGGACCCTTCTCAATGGCACCCTGCAGTGCACATGACTTCTTTAAGCCACAAAGGGCTGCTGGCAGTGCTGTGTGCCAGTCTCATTTTAGTACATTCTGTCTCCTGGGAGGAACTCCATAAAGCCCGCTCTGCCACATGCACCTAGGGCTGCCTCGTCTTAGCCCCACACCCAGCAGCTGTCTGTCTCCGGGCCTCAGGCTCATGGCTGTATTCACCTGGCTGGATCCTCTGGTTCTCAGGGTAAAGGACACTTGCTTAGACTCCCTCTTAGTCCCCAGTGCTTCCAGCAATTATTCCAGCTGTAACTTGAAGACTGCAGTTTCGTGTTCATTTATTATTCCCATGAGATCATGCTGAGCTGGATGAGCCCCAGTGCCTGGTGCTGCGCATACAGGAAGTGCTCAGTAGGCACAGGTGAGTAACAACCTACGATGCTGCTGTCAGATGGGTACCCTTTCCTGGAGCTGCTTCCAGGCCATGGGGCTCAGTCAGATGAGTCCTTGCGTCCTCCATCTCCTAGGAGTACTTTTAGCATGGGTTCTGACGCTCCCCCAAGGGTAGGTGGCTAGGACCTTTCCTGAGCCTGCTGCAGATGGCTCAACAGGGATGCTAAGAACACCATCACTTTCCTTCCTGCCAGCTGAGGTCTGCCTGTTTCACCCATGGTACCCTTCAACCTAAGGAACTGCTGAACATGCCCTCCAGGGGACTTAGGAGGATCTGAGAGTCTTCCTTCAGGGCAGGTGCACAGCCATCTAGCAGACACGCACACTCACTGACTAATGCTACCCCTAGTCTGGCTCCCTTGACCTTCAACTTTTCCCCTACCCAGGGGGAGTCAATAGAGGGGTGCGGCAGTGAGAACACGCTTCTGAGGAAGGGCTGGGGCTACCTGTAGCTGCTGTCCTCACCCACTCTTTGGAAGGTTATTTCAAGTTTTACTGAGCTGAAATGGGAGCAACAGCGGAACCACATTTCCAAACACACCTAACAGGCTCATCCTCACCAGTGGGCCAGCAGCACCCAGTGACTCCTGGGGAGATGCTGGCCCTCAGGAGGAAACTCAGGGCCCAGTAGCATGCAGCCAATGGAGGCCCATAGATACCTTACTATCCAAGGGCTGTGTGTGGGTGCAGACAGCAACAGCCCTCCCATGCAGGCAGGTAAGTCCCCTGGGGGCTTGTGTTGTTCACGGTTTATACTGAAGTATTGAGGCCAATATGCAGGACTAGACAGCTGCCACAACAGCTTTTGGATCACAGCCCAAAAAAGCCCCAAAACCCACGCGCAGTAGCTTCTGCCTGTAATCCCAACACTTTGGGAGTCTGAGGCAAGAGGACTGCTTGGGCCCAGGAGTTCAAGATCAGCCTGGGCAAGATGGTAAGACTCTGTCTCAAAGAAAAAAAACACATTAAAAAAAATTTTTTTTTAAAACTCCATGGCTGCCCCCTGAACATGAGGAACCACTATTGGGGGCAGCCAGTCCAGAACACAGACATTCACTGTAGCTCCCATCACCCACTGGAGAGACAGAAAGCAGCTTAATGGAGACAGCACATACCCAGCTGAACAGAGTGGGTCAGGGGACACCTGTGCTGCCTGCTGGCTTTCTACAGTCTCCAGGAAAAGGAGAACTCACTAGGGAACACGCTGCAGCTCAGCCTGGCCTGTTGATGGAACAGCCCCAAGACAGGACTGGCAACCCAGGCTGTCCCAACAGGGCTGAGACATGATTCTGCCCCTGCCCCTTGGTCCAGCCAAGACAAAAGTGGGGCAGCTCCCCTACAGAGGCTAGGAGCCTGAACATGGATGGAATGGAGTCTTCCCCACCTCACATCCACACCCAGCCAAACTATGGACCCAAAACTCCAAACCAGTCACCAATGCAGTCTTGGAGGGGCCTCTCCCCAGACCAGCCCTATGGGCTTAAGTGTCTCCATCTTCAGAGTGGCACAGACTCACACCAGGCATCAACCCCTGCTGCTCATGGAGCGGCCGGCCCGTTAGTGCCAAAGCGAGCCAGATCGATCCCTCTCCCCCTGCTCCCCAAGATTCTCGCCTCACCAATTACTGTGGATGTGTGGCTGTGTGCAGAATGCAGACGGACTCATTTGTCTGAGGGCTGGCCTGGCCTCTCTGGCAGGTTACAGCTCTCCCCATCTTTGAAGAGCTGTGAGCAGCTGGGCCAGGTGGGTCCTCCAAGCTAATGTGACTCAGGTCGTCCTGACCTGAGAACCAGGCTGTGCCAACGGCCCCCAGCCTAACCCTTGTACACAGAGGAAACTACAGAAGAAAGTCAGGCTGAACACAAGGTAGTCTTCATCCAGCTCACTGTGAGGCAGGGTCTTAGGGTAATCTCCAGAATAACAGGCCTCAGTCTGGGAGCCCTGCTGAGGCTTCCCACAGGGCTCAGAAAAGTAAGGCTGCCAGGCGCGGTGGCTCACGCCTGTAATCCCAGCACTTTGGGAGGCCGAGGCGGGTGGATCACGAGGTCAAGAGATCGAGACCATCCTGGTCAACACGGTGAAACCCCATCTCTACTAAAACTACAAAAAATCAGCTGGGCATGGTGGCGCGTGCCTGTAAACCCAGCTACTCAGGAGGCTGAGGCAGGAGAATTGCCTGAACCCAGGAGGCGGAGGTTGCGGTGAGCCGAGATCGCGCCATTGCACTCCAGCCTGGGTAACAAGAGCGAAACTCCGTCTCCAAAAAAAAAAAAAAGTAAGGCTTTCCACACTCGCCCACAGCCATGCTTCCGGCCCCACATCAACTCAGCACCTCCTAAGAAAGCGCTCAACACCAGCAGCCCAACCCACCTGCTTCCCCTGGAGCCACTTAAGTATGTATGTCAGCCAAGGACTGTCTGGCCGGGAAGCATTCTAAGCAGGAGAAAAGGGAAAGTTATGAACAGTCATGGCCTTTAGTCTCCACAACTGTTTGTTCTGGTGAAGGACAGAACTTGTGCACCAGTATACTTATTTGAGGCCACACCAGGGACACTCATGGCCTCAGTTGGCTGACAGATAGCACAGGTGCTAAGACCCACCTGGGCAGTCTCTCTGAGGCTTCCACCTGCTTCTGGGCTGATGTGGAGCACGAGGCACAGAGGGAAACGCTCAGATGTCACTGGCTCTGGCCCCAGACTCTTAGGTTTCCCCCTGCTCTGGGATCAGAGAACAGCTTCCATACCCGGGGTCATGGCCTCCACTCTCCTTTCTACAGTCTCTGGACAAGTCAATGGCTCATGCCTCTAATCCCAGCACTTTGGGAGGCTGCTGCATGAGTGAGGGCTGGGCCCTGCTCCAAGAGGAGGACAAGCAGGGGCTATGGGAGGAGGGCATCACCTCCGCTCTGACCCCTACCATCAAGCTGGCTGCCTTTTTCCTGAGTCCATGGCCCTCAAAGAGTCCTTTCCCCTTGCAGTTAGGGTACCTGCTCCTGAGTTGGAACAACAAAGATGCCAATAGTGGGTATGGGGAGGGACCTCTTCCTTGAGCACCTCCTTACCAGCTGGCCCTCCTCATTCCTCTACCCCTGCTGGGCCAAAACCACTCCTTGGTAGTGGAGTCCGACTCCCCCTGGAGAGGGAGAGGCAGCAGAGCGGGAAGGGCCTTCCGCTCCTGCCGGATGACCCCCGGCACCAACCCTTTTCATTTGCTCTAGCTCTAATGTCTGGCACAAGGGCCTGGCACGAACACTACCCAGGCCACTGCCAACAGTCTCACCTTGAGCCCAAGGGCGAAGGAAACAAAGAACAGTGCCAGCTCTCTGGCATAGGCTGCAGACAGAGGAGGAAGCTGCTTCTTTCTGGCAGCAAACACAGCTTACAGGGTGGCCCCAGACTTCCTCTGGCAGGCAGGGCTGCCTACTGGCAAGTGAGGCTGGGAGAGAAAGGCCCATTGGTGTCTCTTCTGAGTGGCATGTGGGATAGATTAAAGGGTTAGACTGCAAGCCCAGCAACCCGAGTTCTAGTTCTACCTTCTCTGCTGGCTTTAGAGAAATCACACCGTCATCACTTTCAGCATGAAGGGACTGAATGTCATGAACTCTAGGTCCCTTCCAGTTTCTAAAGTCCTAGATTCCTTTTTCTCTGCCTTTTCCCTCACATGGCCACATATGAAGCACAGAGCAGAAAATCT